TAAGAAATAACATAAAATAATAATCTAGCTAAAAATATAAACGAGACAATAATAAAGAAGCTAGGGAATCGGGAATAAATCGCTTCCAGTTTTACACTCATTCAACGACAATCAATAACTCGGTTAAGTGATTCAACTAACCAACTCGTTTAGCGGTTCAACCATACTAACTCTCGTAATATATGGAAAAACATAAATGAACAAATTAACGAAACAATTAACGCATAGACAATACGTCTCCGAACATGTCTATTCTAAATGAGCCAAGTTCTATAAATTTCTCCCCTCTCGGTTATGAAATCGATTATTTTTACAACTCCTCCCCTCTCGGTTCTACAAGTTGTAATTCACAAAATTAACAAACTTTAACTTAACAAATCAATATCAAGCACAAATCAAAGTGTCACACTTTGATTATATCATAAAATTAACCTAAGTGTCACTCTTAGGTGATAAAGATTTACCAAGTTTAATTTATCAATTCATGATTAAAACAACTCATCAAGATGGAGTTATCATCATGCATATAAACGAGATCAAACCGAAATGATTATCCTCTACCCCTAGCTAAAAGATTAGCTACATATAAATAAATTCAACACAACAAAATATTTCTCCTAAATGAACCATTATGCATGAATTAATTTAAAGAGAAAGTAAACTTACATAACAATCTTCAAATGTTGAATCCATATACAAGCTTCTCCAAATACAACATACAATAAGAAAAAAAAAAATAAAAAGAAGAAGATGAAGAGGGAAGAGGGGAAGAACCCCCTTGGTTCAAGCTTGCATGGAAGGTGATAAATTACATAAAATGTTGGATTTTTACATAGATGAATATGTTAGCTATTTATAGAGTTGAATAAAACATAATTCATCTAATTATCAACCAACATAAACTAAAAATCAACCACAATTCACCTAAAAATCAACCACAATTTAACTACCAAAGAAAAAAGTATAAGAAAAGGTGAAAGAAGATAGGAAATTTGAGAGAAAATGTAGAATTTTCGGACAAAATCCGAGAGGGTATTTTTCCGAGCGCATTCGCGCACATCTCGGTCGGCTTTGCTTCTCGGGCTCGTTTTGGGCTCGTTCGAACTCGGAATTGAGTGCCGTTTTTTTCTATGCGTCGCTAACGAACCCCTCTATACAATGATACTTTCAAACCACACTTTTGCCCAGAGTACAAATTATGTGGAATTTCCAATCTTTAAAGGGTCGGTAACTTGCGCGGCTTCGCGTTTTTGTTCCGTCCGGATTCATCCGAAATCGAAATCACATTCCGGTTTTTCCTATATGTAGCCAATACGTCCATCTACATAACCATGATTTCCCTGTCCATGTCTTTCTCTCACGGTGCCTTCGACCTGCACATGAAAAACAAGAAGAAAAAAATGGGAAAAACACACGAAAAACACAAAGAAAACCAAAATGGACAAAACACATAATAAAACACAAAACGAACTAAAAACTCACGAAATGACATAAAACGAGGAAAAATGAGGGGAAAAGAAGAACAAAAAATATAACAAAAATGCAACAAAAATGGTACAAACAACTCCCCCACACTTAAGCCTTTGTTCGTCTCGAACAAAGAGAAAAGAAAACAAAATACGAACATAGGTATCGGATTAAAATAAGAC